CTTAAACGATTATATAGTTGGCATGGTTTTAGAGAGCCACTAAGTTAAATTGTCCTGAGGATGTTCAGGATGTTGCAGAGGCAGTGCTATTGACAGTGCCTAAGATCCATTGACAGGGCCACATCACAAACACTGAAGTCCCGGAACTGCCAACTTCACCAGTATTGAGGCCATCCTTCTTCAAAGATAATTGTGTTGGCTAGGTCATGTTGCTCACAGTGACAACAGTGACCCATCCCAAATTGTCTCGTATGGAGAGCTGACCACTATGAAAAGGAACAGACAGACTACATTAAATGTTTCAAGACTACCTGAAGAAATTCCTCCCTGTATGTCACATTGATAATCACCAGAGGGAAAGGCAGCCCATAGGTCATGTTGGCTAGAGATTCAACTTCAGGTATGCTACAGGCACCTTTGAGACTGGGCAAAGAGCCAGCATAAATTAGAAAAGGAGGAAAATTATAGATATAATTTCCGAGCAGCAACAACACTTTTACCTGAAGCCGTTGTGGGAGAATCTACGAATCACAGATAGGGCTGATTAGACACGAGTGGGCCTGTAACCAATTAGTACAAGCTCCCTAAGATCATCATCCATGAAGAAATTCCAAGAAAAAGGCAAATTGTGAAATGAAGGGAGGTGTCTGCCTTGCTGATATAACTTCAGGACATCTGATCTTGGTTATGTTTGAAGATGAGAACAAGAACACTATCAGTGAAGACATAATGCCATTACATCATTAAAGTAGTGCTCGTAATATTTTAATTCACATTTTAAAACCAGTGGCACTGTGTAGAAAGTAATAGAAAAATAAATGAGGAAGTGACTAATCAACAACAAATAAAGAATGATCTTTTTGAACACTAACTATGATGATGCAATACACATTCTGTCCTTACAATGGCCTGAATTTGCCCTGATTCACAATGGTGGGTTTGAGGAATTCTGTTGCCAGGGACCTATCCCAGGAATGGCTGGGTATCAGATTGATTGTCTGCTCCAGACAGTTGGGTCACCAATTATGCTCATTAATGCCCCAATTAGGGGCACAGTTAAGGCAGTCAACTAAATAGTTGTGGCAATCTTGTAGCACATAGGAAAGCCAAAGCTAGAGGTTTCATACCCCAACGATGAGGAAATGACAATCAAACCTTTTCCAGTGGAGGGGTTTCCCCTCAAACTCAAAGGACCTGTCAGCCTTGATCTTATGTTATTCTTCACTGCAGTACAGGCAGTGAGAGTGTCTCAATGTTGAGGCACCCATGTGATTACCAAATAGCCTTAGCAGCAGCCAGCACCTCTCCAGATGGGGATGCTGACGTTCCTATACTGTTGCTCTCGGACTGTGCTGGCAACATGAGGAGCCTGCCCACCATCCTTCATAAGACAGTGAATGTGGTAGAGGCCAGTTAGGAAGCCGTTTCCTGGACGACTGCTGCCACTGCTGGCAAGTGCAGGTTTAGGACCTTCATTTGGTCTCAGCAGCAGAATCCCAAAGAACCCAGGATCCAGCCTATGTGTCATTCAATCTTTTGCTTTTTAAACAGCAATATTTTATAACTACATCAGCAGGTAATTTATATAGGCAGCACTTCAAATTCAGATATGCAATAATCCTGTCCGTTTGCTGCCATTTAAAAAAGGCTGAAATTTGGCACAAGACTTTATGCACTGATCAAAAATGCTCTGAATCTTATTGTGTTAAATTTCATACTCAATTCAACAAATGACTGGCTGAAGGGACTATAATGAAGTTAGAAAGCTCTGAAGTCGTATTGCATTCGAAATGCTGTTTCCCTCTCCAAAGATACTGCCAGACCTCCCAAGCACCTCCAGATTTGTCTGTTTGCTTGAAAGTTTAGGGTGTTGTATCCGAAACGTTTTCCCACCATGATTCCATTTTGCAACTTGCATAATGCCTGATTTCTCAGTTAGAACTGTGACTGAAGATGTGGGAAACCTTGGTTTAGCGGGTATGTCATCTAAATACTTCAGCAAGTTAAAGCCTGAATGAAGCGATTAGTGTACAATAGAGCTACAGAGACAGCAAGAACTGCAGATGCTGGAGACAGAGACAATACAGTGTGGAGCTGGAGGAACGCAGCAGGCCAGGCAGCATCAGAGGAAAAGGAAAGTTGATGTTTTGGGTCAGGACCCTTCTTCAGAAATGGGGAAGGGGAAGGGAGCTGGGAAATAAATAGATAGAGGAGGGGTGGGGCTCGTGAAGGTAGGTGGGATGGTGATAGGTGAGTGCAGATAGGGAATGGTGGGGATTGGTCAATGGGCTGGGTGGGGCGGATAGTTGGGAAAGAAGATGGACAGGTTGTGTCAGGTCAAGGAGGCGGGGATGAGAGGGAGGGCTGGACATGGGATGAGGCCGGGGTGGGGAAATTTTAAAACTGGCGAATTCCATGTTTAGGCCATCGGGCTGTAGGCTCCCGTGGCGGAATATGAGGTGCTGCTCCTCCAATTTGCGGGTGGCGTCATTGTGACACTGGAGGAGGCCCAGGATGGACATGTCACCCAGGGAGTGGGGTCGGATTGTAAGTGGCGGAGAATGAAATGCTGGATGCGGAGGTTGGTGGGGTGATATGTTTTAATTTTTGTTGGGGGGAGGGGGTGTGAGGGCAGAAGTGCAGGAAATGCAAAAGAGCTATACACAAGAAAACATTAACACTGTCGGTAGTAACGTCAATTGACAGTAACACTGTCAATTGCTCTCTTCCTCGAGGCAATCATCATCCCATGAATACTGTTATTATCAACAGCCTTTTTAAAACAGCTACCATGCAAAATACCTCCCAGTCCTATGTAAGGTATTTTAAAATGTCATTGCAACTCAATAAAAACAACAATTTATGTTTAAACAGCAATTTTAACTGCCAAAAGGCACTTTGTAGGAGAATTATCAATAGTGTTTAGCATCACCCATTAACAGGTGATATTCAGAGAGGTGACCAAAAGCTTGGTCGGTCCAATCGCACAGTCCTTCCTGATAGATAGGAGAGATACATTGGAGCGGTATCCATGCTGGAAGTCCATGCCCCTATTCCCTATGGATAACAAGGATTTGGTGTAGAGAAGCAGAAAGGGTTAGAGAGTGATTTCCACTGCTTAGCATGTGAGCAGGTGAAGGCATAGACACTAATAGTGAAGTAAAAAAAAAAATCCAGGATACTCAAAAGGCCAGAATTGGATACCAACAAGATCTGAGACAGTTATAGAGCTGGAGAAAGTAACACAGATAAGATAGGAAGAGATAATAGAGTATATGTAAATGAAGATAATAATTTCAAAATTGAGACCTGTAGTCAGGGAGCACAGGGGTGATAGATGAAAGATATTTAGTGAGAATAAAATATAAGCAGTGGAGCTAAGGTTGAGTTCATGCTTACTGGGGGTGCAAGTCAGGAGGTAGGCCAGAAAAGCATTGGAATAGTTGACTCTTGAGGAAACATACGTATGAATGAAGGTTTCAGAAAGAGATGAGCTGAGGCAGGAGAATGTTGTGGATGTGGAACACCATGGCTAATCTTGTCGATCATTCTTCCATTAATATTGATATCATCACCTTCTTCTTAAAAGAATCCATCTTTGACTCCTTTGTAATTTTTTCTATGACTGTGATTTGTTGAAATGTTATTAGTTTTCAATAGAGTTACCTTCATGGTAAAGCCTTGTTTTGATTTTATTCTTTCCTATCAAACATACTTAAATCCTCTCCACCCAAGCCCATCATTTCCCAATGTTCCAAGACGTTATACATTTCCTCATCCTAACTTTTATCTATAGAAGCCTTTTGGTAAGATTATGGTCATCATGGAGAAGAGTTTCACATTGATGCTGGTAATGCACAATTTTATCCTGACCCTTGGTTCCCAAACTATTACCACACTGTTCAATTGCAGTCTCTCAAATTCTGGTTATGAAATGTCATACACTTTAAGCTAATTTGAGGCTACTTTGTTCTCCTTGTGGCAACAGCGCTGCATCTCAAGCACCCATTCCACCCTTTTCCAAAGATGTCATTCAGACTATTACATGCAGACACAAAACTTTGTTTGTATCCTCTTCTGAGCTGAGCTTCAAATTCATCTAGTGCATTGCCACAACCATTTACCACTGCCTCCGGTAACATCTCTTCATTTCCACTAGCAGTAAGATTTTGTAGATAGTTTCATCAACTCAAGCCAAAGTGTTTCTCTTGTTAGTCTCCCCATTTTCAACATTAACAAACCACAAAACACCCAAAACCTTTAAAGCCTGGAATCTAATTCACTTAAAATCTCAGCCATCAATGACTTTTGTCTTGACTGGTTCCACCCTCCAGATCTTTATCCTTATCCTCACATTTCCTTCGTGAATTACCTGTAAAATTGTCTCCAGCTGTATATTACAGCACTGGTACTCCAATCATCTGACTTTCATCCACTAACCATTTTCCTCTTCTCCATTCCACAGTGGCGAAGCCTGAAGCCATTCTGCATCTTGCACATTAGAATTCTTTTGTATAAATCTCCCTGCCTTATTAGCTCTATTCTCATCTTTCATCAAAGCTTACCTGTTTGCGATATCCAAAGTTTGTAACAATTAAAAGTGTCACAGAATACCCAGCATTGTAACTGGTAAACTGAATGAGTAAACTGTGCTGGAGGTTTCCTATTATGAATGAGAGCAACACAATCAGATCACATTATCAGGTGAATCTTTTTGATTATCTCAATGAATCTACAAGGCCATACAGCTTTTAAGGGATAGTGTTTCCAAGATTTCCATGAAAGCTAATGAAAAGTCAATAAGAATGCTTTATCCAAGGCACTCTTACAGATAATGCAATCCAAGTCTTTGGTTTCTCCTCTCAACACTGCCAAAGCATTTTGGAAAAGCAGGAATGAAAACATTTGACAAAATATATACTTTTTCCAAACCTAGAAATATTACTTCAAGGGAACATGAGAAATTAAACCAAGTTCAGCAACTGGAGCATGCTTCCTACCTTAGAGTCCAGTCATGGTTACAGTAAGGTTGGACATTTCCCAGGTAGAACCCCAGGGACTGAGTGACATCCACTAGATTGGTGAAATTGAGACTAATGCTGTTGTATAGGACTGAGGTCATGGTAATTTCATCAATAGCCCACACGTCCTCATCAGGCCCAGAGTGATAAGGCTGCCACCATCGGAACTGGATGCCAAACTGCTGGGCATTTTCTGGGAGTTCCACAGAAATAATTCTAAAACCAAAAAAAAAACCTTTTATTAAAATTACATGCACAAACTCTGCCGATCATCTCTTTCTATCTGTGGTATTTTCAGTAGGCAGAGACTAGTAAAATGTAAAGTCAAACAATACTCACAAATCTTCTCCTGTAGAGAAGAATAGCTTTGTCACATTGTCAACAAGACAAAGAACTACATGGAGACATGCAGACAACATGGTGATAGATCTCAATAAATTGTTATTAAAATGACTTCTTGAGATGGCTCCATTTTTCATCTGTAACAAGGGTAGATATGGTTTCCAACATGTAAGTGAACCAGAAGCTTTATAAAACAAAACTCATTAAGTAGATGGGAAAATTATTGTAAAATATTGTAAAAACACTGAGGCAATGAAGTGCAATTCACATGTAAGCTATCACCAAAAAACCAGTGGTACCAGTAATATTTACTGATAAAGGGAATTGAGAAAAATTAATTTGACAAATTAGCATTTCTTTTCATGAGGTGAGCTCACGTCTTCCAGCGGCTTCACAGGGGACCAAGTGACTTTCTGAAGAAGGGTCCCGGCCCGAAACGTCAACTTTCCTGCTCCTCTGGTTGGCCTGCTGTGTTCCTCCAGTTCCACACTATGTCATCTCTGACTGCAGCATTTGCAGTTCTTGCTATCGCCAAGTGATTTAAGTTTGGTTTCAATTCAAAATTATTAGGTAATAGGCTGGCTCCAAGGCCATGTGATAGCTGCCACAACAGAAATTCCCTCATTTCCAGCAGAAGTAAGAAAGCAGCTTAAAAAATGAACAACATTAAAGAACTTGAAAAGCTTTTCAAGTGTTATTGCTGATATTGTAAGATAAAGAAAAGAGGCAGCACTTACACAAACCTTAGTATAAAAATAATTATACTTGGATGCAAATTTGGATTTTTGAACTTCTGTTCACACATTAATGGATGAAGATCTAAAATGCTTATTTGGTATTCTTTGTCTAATATTTTACCAGAGCATTCATACAAAGACATAGGCCAATGTCTGCATTTAAGTAAATCACAGAGGAATTTCAGATGAATGCACTAAATATTTAACTAAAACAAAGAACTGCAGATGCTGAGACAAATATTTAACTGGCTAGCATGACCAACAATAATTGCTCGCTTCACATATTGGATAAAATATATAGCAGGTAAACAACAAAAGATCTATTTCCATCCAAAGAACTAAAATATTTTTTCTATTTGTATCAGAGGTTTTAAAAAGCAGCAAATAAGTAGTCTTCTTTGACAGTCCCTCAGGGTGAAGGATGACTTGCTTTCACTCCACGGGGCTTGAATACTGCAAGCACGTAGCTGCAGACACCACCACAGTAGGCCAGCTGGTGTTTGAGAAGCTGTGTAAATGGGACCCTCTGGATTCTGCTCGCTCATTCCAAGCTTGTGTTTGGCTGCCATGTGCTCTACTTAGTGAGGCTGGATGTGGTTGGTGCCTTTGTTGATGCTTCCTCTCCAGATTATGCATTCCCACAAGTTGGCGGGGATATCACATTTGTTTTGGAAGGTTTCCAGGGTATCTTTGTAGGATTTCCTCTGCCCTCCTAATGATTGCCTAACATTGTGGAGCTTGCAGTTAATGATTCATTTAGGGAGTCTTGTGGTGGGCTTGCAGACAATGTTGCCTACCTATCGCAGCTGATTGTGTGAGACCAGTGCCTCGACACTGGGGATATTTGCCTGGAATAGGACACTCGTGTTGGTGCGTGTATCCTGCCAGTGGATAAGCAAAGGCAGTGCCGGTGATAAATTTCCAGGCATTTGAATTGTCTGCTATACATAGTCCATGTTTCTGATACATACAGGAAGGTGGGGGCATGGCCACTCTGTAGACCATGAGCTTAGTGCTAGGTTTGAGGTCTCGGGCATCGAGCCGCCTTGTTCCTTGGGAATCCAACAGCTGCACTACTCTTCAGCCACAGGGAGGAGGCAACAAGGCATTGGAGTCAATGTTGGATTTCATTGTCAATGTCCATTCGCATGAAAAGGAGGCTCCCAAGGTATGGGAAATGATCCATGTTGTCCAGCTGATGTTGGGGGGAGGGAGTTGGGGGTTCGGTGGTGCACTTTGTGGCAGGAGCAGGCTGGTACAGAACCTTTGTTTTCCGGATGTTTAGTCTGAGGTTCAATCTCTCATATGCCTCAGTGATTGTGTTGATGGTTTATAGCTTGGCCTCTGAGTGTGCACACGTGCAGGCATTGTCTGCTTACTGCAGCTCGATGATAGAAGTTGGGATGGTCTTGGTTCTGGACCGGAGGTGCAAAAGTTGAACAGTTACCCACTCATCCTGTAGTTTAGCTGCACTCCAGCTGGGAGTTTCATGGAGGTGAGGTGGAGTGTTGCAGTGAGGAAGTTGGAGCAGAGCATTGCTGCGATGATGCAGCTCTGCTTGACCTCAGTTTACACTCCTATTGCGTCTGTGGTGCATCATTTGATGTGGATCAGTTTGTATGTCATCCCAAAGCAGGTTGAGAATAGTGATGAGTTTCTGCAGACAGCCCAATTTGATGACTATATTCCACAATGTCTCATGGTTGACAGAGTCAAAGGCCTTTGTAAGATTGAAGAAGACCATGTTTAAAGGTGGGTGCTGTTCCCTGTACTCCTCTTGGATTTGTTGCACACTGAAATCACGTCCATTGTGCATCTTGATGGGCAGAGGCACATTGATATTTGTGGAGGAGCTCATCAGCCTCTGGGACAAGGCAGCTGAGGAGGATTCTCACATGACCTTTCCCATGGCGAACAGTAGGGAAATCCTTCTGTAATTTCCACAGCCAGACCTGTCTCCTTTCTTAAAGATGGTCAAAATTATAGTGTCTCTGAGATCTCCCAGCATGATCTCTTCCTTCCAGGCAGTGGCGATGAAATCACAAACACATATTAGCGGTGCCTCTCTGCAGTACTTTAATACTTCAGAGGGGATTCCATCTGTGCTGGAGGCCAAATAAATGTTGCCTCCCTCCTATTTAGTCCACAGTATGGTCACCAGTTTATCCATTATTGTTACCCATCACACGTAGGCATTATCAAGATTCCTCTATTTTGTCTCTGCTGCTTCCTCCTAGTTGCTAATATGTGTAATTAGTGCACAGAGGCTAAATTTAGCACTGGTCATTTAGTCAAATATGTTCATACCCACTTAGATAATAGAACAGGGCAAACCTCAAAAAGTATGAACCACTAATGAAGAATAATGTCATGTTTTAAACAACTGTCGACATATGGGGCAATAGGGAGGACATATTATCACAGGAAAAGATAATTCTATCTCCATGATTAGCTCCATAAATCAACAATACTGTTCCCACCCAGTTCTGCACCTGCCAGGATCAGCAAGCAACTGGGTTTCTTGGCAAACTTGCTGGTCATTGCTACTGCATGGCACCAATGATCTGCCACTCTACAGGAGCTTACTGCAGGCAGCATGTTGAATTTCATGTCTGTTTTCAATTTATCAAGAAATGTAATTCTTTCATATGTGATTGATTTCATACCTGGTTGTCAATTTTTATTGGAATTTTTCTATAATTATACTTTCAACATAAACTATAGGAATATTAAATTAATGTAGACTCAGAAAATAGAAAGCAGAAACGTCAATATAGCATTCTATCAAAGGAAAACTTACAATAATTACAATTTAGGTTCAGAAACATGTAAATTAAATATTTGAGCGAAACAAGAGGTTGAAAAATAAGACCATAAGATGTAAAAGCAGAATTAGGCCATTTGGCCTATAGAGTCTAGTCTGCCACTTGGTCGTGGCTGATATGTTTTTAAACACCATTCTCCTGCCTTCTCCCTGTAACCCTTGATCTTTTTACTAACCAAGAACCTACTATCCTGGTCTTAAGTAAACTTAGTGATTTAGCCTCCACATCGTTCTGTCACAATACGTTCCACAGATTCATCACTCTCTACTGAAGGAATTCCTCCTCATCTCAGTTCTAAAGGGCCGTCCCTTCACTCTGAGGCTGTGCCCTCAGTCCCTAATCTCTTCTACCAGTGGAAAATCTTCTCCACATCTACTGTGTCCAGACCTCATAGTATTCTAAAAATTTCAAACAGATTTGTCCCCTCACCCCGCACCCATCCCCCCCATCCCCATCCTTCTTACCTCCATCAAACACAGACCTAGAATCCTCAACTGCTCCTTGTATAACAAGGCCCCATTCCCCAGGATCATGCTTGTAAACCTCCTCTGGACCCCCCTCCAATGCCAATACATCCTTTCTTTGATATGAGGCCAAATGTGGTCTGCCCAGGGCCTTATACAGCCTCAACAGTATATCTTTGCTCTTGTTTTCTTGTCCTCTTGAAATGAATGCTAATATTTCATTTGTCTTCCTAACTGCCAATTGAACCTGCATGTTAACCTTAAGAGAATCCTAAATGAGGACTCCCAAGTTCCCTTGTGCTTCAGATTTCCGAAGCCTTTCTCCATTTATAAAATAGCCTATGCCTCTATTCATCCTGTCAAAGTGCATAACCTTGTACTTTCCTGGAATGTATTCCATCTGCCACTTCTTTGCCCACTCTCCTAACCTGTCCAAGTCCTTCTGCTGCCTCCCCACTTCCTCAACACTACCTGTTCCTCCACCTATCTTTGCGTCATCTGCAAACTTAGCAACAATGCCCTCAGTTCCTTCATCCAGATCTTTAATGTATAATCTGAACAGATGTGGCCCCAACACTGACCCCTGTGGAATTCCAATAATCACCCGCGGTTACCCTGAAAAAGATCCCTTTATTCCTACTCTCTGTCTTCTGCCAGTCAGCCAATCCTCTATCTATGCCTGTATCTTGTCCCTAACACCCTGGGCTGTTAGCTTATTTAGTAGCCATCTGAATTGCTCCTTGTCAGAGGCATTCTGGAAATCTAAACAGATTACGTCCATTGCCTGTCTCTTGTGGAATTTACTCATTACCTTCTCAAAGAATTCTAACAGATTTGTCAGGCATAAC